CGGGATTTGACTATACAATATACACAATATATATTACTAAATAATAGTTAGATATACAATATGTATAACTTTAAAAGTTTTTAAAAAAGTATATATGTATAGGGTGGATTAAGGGTGTTTGGGATAAGAGGTCAAATGAGACAGTATAACTATACAGGTTTTATTTTCTCACCTATCATCACCTTCAAACCAAACACTTAGCCTTGACCTCTTAACCCAACACCAACTAATCCTGATTAGCATGTTTTGACCTGTGTAGCATGTGTTCATTTTTTTTTAAGTCAAACATTTTTGTATAAATGTGTTCAGTGAATGAGGAGAGAATTAAGGGAGGGTGCGAGAGTGAGGAAAGATAGCTTTATATTGCACGAGTGTGAGTGGACTTCAGCGATAAAGTTTGACAAAAATATACATGGAGTCTTAATGAAATGAACTGTGCAATAAATATGCTTACACTAGCCTAAATCAGTGAATGGTGCTCTCCCAGTCACCCAAAAGGTCCTGTCCCAATCACCCAAATGATACAAAAAGGGGTTTGGGGTCAGTTTACTTAAAAGGGTCATGCATCCTTGAAAAATGATAAAACTTTATTTTCTCCTCAAATGGATAGGTTAGATCTTCAGTATTACAGAAATGTATCATTTGTTGGGGTATTTTGTTAAAATTATAACAATAAATAAACTGTATAATAATAAACACTATGTTTTTCCTTTATAATTTGATTTTAAAGACCTGGTTGGCACATTTTCATTTATCAGCAAACTAAAATAGAGAGTGCTCTAATAGGAAAGAAAAAAAAGACAATGTGTAGTTTTGCAACAGACTATATTGCACAGTTGGTTAACTGCCAAGGCAATCTCACAGGGTACTCTAAGGAGAAATGTGGGGGTTTTTGATCCTGTTTTGGTTTGTTTATCTGTTGAATGTGAAATATGCTAATTTTATTATATGCCTGTATAAACATGACAATTGTAAGTTTATTTGTTTATATCAACCCAAGGTCTATATTTATTTATTTATTAATATTGAAAAAGGAAATCAAAGCCACCTACCTTTCCTAAAACAAGTTAAATTTACTGGAAAGAAACCATTTACATTGCAGGCCTGGAAAATAAAACAAGTGATAAGAGTCCTGTGGTTGTATGGAAACACAATCAGATTTTTAAAAAGGAGAGGGGGTGGTGGAAGCTGCAGCCAGAGCAAGAGGCAGAGGCTCATTTACACCGTGCAATGTAAAGAACAGAGACAACAGAGACAACCCAGCAGACACGTAACAAAGAGCTCACCATGTGCACGCAGCTGCTGCACACACATACACACACACACAGGTGTGCACACACAGCACAGACTGAGAAATACACTTATTATCCCACGGACATACCTTATCCTACTTATGTTTAAACAAGAAGAGGTGTATGAGCTAGACATGATTAAACTGGCTCAAATCCATGTTTCATTAAGCATCCAGCTTGCTTATATGTCTTTGTGTAACACACTAATTCCCTACCTACACTATGGTGCTGCTGATTCAGTAATACAGACGTGTATGCCTGTATGACTTTATTTACAAAAAAATAAAAAAAATAAATATATATAGGATATATATATATATATATATATATATATATAAAAGAATGCAAACAGGAATCTTAGACATTTTAGTTCCCACCACCTTGGTTCCTGAGTGTATTTGCTGTGTTTACATAGTTCCTGGAACTGTTTGGTTGAAAATGCTGTGTGTGACCATAAAAGGTTAAAAACCATGCAGTTGTGGTGTGAAAGTGAGCAGCTACAGCTCATCTTGAAAGTGTGAGACATGACATCCATGTGAGGGCTCAGTCAAAGTGTAGTTATACAACATGTTTAACATCATATAAAATCAAAACCAAAAAATGACTAATGAAAGCACAGTGAGCAGACCACAGTTACCATACATGAATATTTACTTCCCCACTTTACAACAATTGATGCTCAATGCACATCATTAAATCCTGAGAACAGATAATTTTGCATCTGTAATAAGGATTGACTTTCCAAGGAGTGCCCCCTTCCCAAGTACTTAATCCAGACTAACTTACTGCACCCTAGTCTTCATGTGCGTATTGGTGGTGGGTAATACAAACTGTCCCAGCCAATACTTTGGCAAGCTCCTGAGCCAAATGTTACTACCTGTACAAACAGCCCAAAAACAAAACAAAAAAATCCCTGTGAGATAACTGCTGCCACAGTCTATTGAAGGGACACAATTAATGCTCCAGCCAGACGCCATTGATGATGTGTGTTAACGTAAGGCATTTTCAGACCAGAGGAACCTTTTCATAGTTCTAATAACCTAGTTAGTAGAATCCCCGTTTTCGTCTATTCTGCAATTCAAGAACTAGGAGCAATCATAGCTCTTAGAGCGCTATTTTGAGAGACTCTTTTACCTCCTATTTCAGAGAAGTTACTCTGCCAGCACATGAGGAACCATGAGTAGTGTAAGTGTACAGTGATTTGGTCCAGATGTCATGAGTGTACATTTGTTATGACGGTCCAGAAGCACATTTAGATTAGTTCAGTTAAGCTCAGTTTGAGTAATAGATAAGGAATAGGAAATAACCTTGCCCCCGCCCAGCTAGGTTTCTCTTTTTTCTCACTTTGATTTAGTTTATTATTTTCATGCCAAACATATTTGTATGTATATTTGTCTGTAATGCATGTTGCGTGTCTCAATAGTGATGCCGTAGTTCTGTCGGCGTTTATGTAGTTGCAGCCTTTTCTTTGATCTGTGCGCGAGCTCTTTGATGTGTGTATGCCTGCGTGAGTGTCAGGACACGTTGGAGTGAGTGAGTGAGAGAGTGGAGCCGTGTCTGTTGGTGAAAGCCAGTGTTGCCATCCATTGGTCGTTGAAGAAGGCGTGAAGAGGATTTTCGGGACTGTTCCTGCCTGGTGTGCAGATCAAGCTAGAGTCGCTAGCTAGCTAGAGCTAAGCTAGCTAGCCTTCGTCGCACCACGTTACCGTGGACTACAAACTCTGTAGCCGGCTCCTTCGATGACATCATGTCATCTTCAGTTTCACCTGCTCCCCCTCTACACCTTTCATCTTTCCTGGACATCATCGCTGCACGAGCTCCAACCCCTGGGCATCTGGTATCATAGCATTGGATTAGCTTAGGGACTTAGCATAGTTAGCTTAGGCTATTTAGTATAGGGTTTTGTTAGTATAATATTGTGTATTGTATTTCATGTGTGTCTATTCATCTAGCTTCTATTAAAGGTACAGTTTGTTATTTCTTTATCCCTGTGTCCCTCCCCCAGTTATTTAATAGAGTGTCCACCTTTCCAAATTACATATAATATTATACATAGAGGTATGCCGGTGGCTTTACATCGCCGTTTCTAATTAGTTTGTAGGTTTAGCAGTCATAATATTCAGTTTAGTGAGTCAAAGTAAGTATACAGTCCTTTCAGTTTAATTTAATTTCGTCAATGTAGCGTGAGCTGTAACAACATTGATTGGTCAAACACAGCCAAGAACCACCTTGGGAGGTGGTGGGCTCATGTGGACCTGCAGCTAGGTAGGGTCAATCCCACTCTCTACTCTTTCTCACCCACTCTGTAAGCATGCTACCTGACAGGCCACTCTTCCTGGGTGGCATAAAAAGGAGAGAACTCTGAACACACAGCCTAGTAACGGGTTCTGCAAGGCTTCTTCCTGGGACCTCTCATTTTCTCCCATTACACTTTGGTGCTGTCCCAACCATTGCTTTTCCTGCCTCTGCTATGTTGATGATAGAGCATTATTCTTATTATTCCCCCCATCTGACCTTTCAGTTTATGGTGTGCAGCACTGTTTCCCTGGTACAGTAAATATCTCGGAGTGAATACTAGGACACCACCTAAGGCCTAACCTGAACAAGAATGTCCAGCTACTGTTCCTTCAGGGGACAAAATTCACATGCACAGTTGTATTATTTTGACACTTTAGATTCAACATGTTAGATAGTGATCTTTAGAGGTGCTGGTAAGTGGATTTCCATGATTTTCGATGAGGGATTGGCATGGGGATTTGAGTAACTAATTTGGACATCAGTATTTGTTCAACATGTAGAAAAATCACCACACAGCCTCCCCACATTTAAAAATGACTTTTCTTTTTTTTCCATTACTATGTAAAATGGGTAAAATCTTTGTTGTAGAGCTGTGTCCAGGGTGCTGCTCAGCTTAGTGCCTCCTTAGCTCCTTCTCCTCGAGATTACTGCCGCGGGAGTGTGAGCTCTGTGCTGGGGACAGTTTGACAAGAGACAGGACTAATTGTTAGCATTACATGGCTAACTTACCTACAGTTAATAACAGGTTTAATGACCGCGCAGAAGATGAACTGACTGGCAAGAGCAATTGCAAAGCTCTTTCAGCATGCATCTAATCCATGTAACAGCAGCAACAGAAAGTTTATTGATATTTTTGTACATTAACTTTGGATTCATGGTTAAACAGGCTAATTGAAGCCTTGTTATTCAACACGTGAATTTCAAATTGCTCTTGTTTTCCATTGTTGGACTATTAACATTCCAGTTCTTGTGTTAGATTTTTTTTTTTTTTCCCGAGTACCCGAGTACTCTGTAACACCTTAATGCGAGTATTGGAACATGGAAATTATATACCTACTCTGGAGAAAGCCAGGGCATGAGAATAACTGTGCCCCCTCACCATTTCTGCTAAGCTCAGATAGCAGAATGCAAGCTGCAGTTCCATATTTACCACACAGACAGTATTAATCTTCTCATTTCACCCTTAACAAGTAAAATTTCCAAAAATGTTGAACTATTTCTCTAAGTTGCTTTTACTTTTTATTTTTTTTGTAGGTGAAACCTGTGTTATCAGACATAAATTCTTTGTTCAAGACAGTAGCAACTCTGTATGCAAGCAGAACATCCTGTCTAACCTGATTCAATTATTGTACAGTTTACTTTTTTCAAAAATATTACACATGAGAATAAGAATAACCACACTCACACGGATACTGACGTATTGCAATTTTTAATATTTGAGATTTAAACTGAAGTGATGTTTAAAACAGTACATAACTCATGATCTAATGAAGCCAATAAATGTGACACAAAACATTACAGCTGAAATCACAGTATATGTTATCTATCAAATGCATTATCCTTTTCTCTTATTTTGAAGGACATCCATCTTGTGCTCTAATACAGACAGTACATATTACAGCAGCAGAGTAATGTTGTAAAGCATAATGAAAATCTTAAGTCCGTATTCCTAGTTTTGAATGCTTAGAACAAAATTCATCAAAATAACACAGTGTAATATATTAGCTGTTGGCACAGAATCATCTGTAATAAAAAAAGCAAACATTTGAAAGCAGAATAGTTGGAAAATGCACAAATGTGCTGTTTACAGTGCCATGTACTTTTGAGCACTTCTTAATTCTCTTACTTCAGTTATCTTTAACTTCTATCTTCATGACAGGCTGGTAAGAGTCTGCCATCGATGTCATGATGGCAACTCGATCCTTCCTGTGACTGACACTGAGGCCTGCTTTTTTTCTGACAAATGTGTGGTCTGTGTTGTTGTACATGTGATAATAAAGATTATGATCACACTCTTTGCTCTTTTCAAAGATTCCCAATGCGTACCAGTTGGAGTACAGGTTGTAGTCATAGGGCACAGAGAACATGACAGCTATTTTCTCAGTGGACTCCTTGGTAGATTTGTCGAGGAGATCATAAGTGAAGACACCAACAGCTCCTCGAGCAGCATTGGCAGTCTTGGTGAAGAGTGCATTCCCAGATGAAGTCGGGTCAATACTTGGTGGCAAAGGCTTGGCGCAGTAACCACTATCAATGTATACAGTAGAAACAGAAAAATATTAAGAAGTTGTATGTTTTTCATGTAAAACTTATTTCTGTGTTGGAATAAAAACACAATTGCAGTTACCTGGGGTTACAGAGGGTGTAGTTAGAGGATTTATTTGTTATCTCGATGGAACACTGACAGTGTGTTGGAAGCAGATCAGCAGTAAAAAGTGCAGCATCAACAGCACAAAGTGCTGCATTCAAAGCCATGATGGATTTATGCGTAACAGCTGTGCAACAATATGATCTGCTCAGACAGACAGAGAACAAACAAACATTTGTGTTCATGAAAGTTTCCTGCTTTTAGATACAGTCATAATATGACAAAAAATGCTCATGTTCCAGAGAGACATTAAAGCAGGAGAAATGTTCCTCTTAGTGAAGAGAGAATAGGAGTTTATCTCAGTTTTTTAACATATGAAGCTATGCTTACCTGGGATGAATGCTTCTGAAAGACGGCAGCAAGCTCTGTCTGTCAGACTTTTAGGTAATCTCCTTATAAAGGTGAAAAAGAGAACAGCTGTTGGCTGCACCTGTTTGTGTAGGACCCTCCTTCCAAACACCAACTCCTGTCATTAAAAGGTAATCAAAGGTTGTATATTACAAATTAAAGTCATATGCCACACACACATAAACCTTTTTTCTTTTTTCATTTTGTTACAGTTGTTCCCTAATTACCACTTCTTAAACAATCTCTCAGAAGTAAACCCTGGGAACGCCCTAATCCCCACACAGAGGAATGACAGTGAAAGTGTGACTGAACATGTTTCGATATTGACAAGACCAAACTTGTTGTGGTAACGTTAAATCACGTTTCAGCCTTGTAACAAAAAAAGAGCAAAAGCGAAAGCCCCTTCATTATCCCATGAGAGTAAAAATGAAAGTAAAAAACGTGCCATTAACCATGTTTTCATGGTGATCTGAGGCCACACTGTTGACACTTTATTACCACACTGTCACGTTCCAGCTGTTACCACAAAGTAAATTGTCAAAGCAAAACTGTCACTGCCTCCACTTGAGTTTATCTGTCTGTGTGATCTACAATATAGATTATATTAATGTAATAATAGCTCCTGTGAGATGCCTATATTTTTTTGGCCCATGTACACTTCATGTGACTGCCAAGTGTCTTTCTGTGATTACAGAAGAAAATGGTGGACATTTGTGTTGACCCTTTGAAACCTGGAGAGACATCACTTCTCTTGTGCTTCTTGAAGAAAGTGCACCAATTTCTCATTTCCAGGTCATTTTCCTATTTGTTTGTTTGTTTTAAAATTTCTTTGTCTTCTTTGAAAATAACTTTCTTGTTTTTAATTTTCTCTTTTTACTAATTTCTTGCTATTTTTTGGGGTCATTTCTTCTTTCGTTGCCTTGTTTTCATGTATTTAAAGAAATTAAGATGATTTGCTCAGGGTTCAAAGGGAGAAAACAGTGGACAACACAATATTTTATGATAGTTTCAGTATTAAAATGTGTTTTAATAACATTTCAAGCGTGAATTGTGCGTTTCATTTTCATAATTTTCATTCATTAAGTGCATATGTATGGAAGAGGATTAGCTACTGAAGAGGATTAGGGCCACTGTGGAAAAAAAAGTGAGTTCTGACTTTTTTCTCAGAATTCTGACTTCTGAGTTTAATCTCATAATTCTGAGATTAAAGTCAGAACTAATCCTCTTCCGTAGTTACCCATTGCTTTGTTGTTATGAAGCCACCAGTTTTGGCATTTTGGCCGTCACCATCTTGGTTTTTTGGAGCCAGAAGTGACCATATTAGAGATTAGTGCTGTGTTGGAGCGAGGGTGGATCTGACTCACCCAGTGCAGCCTGTCACTCAAGTAGCCATGCCCCTAAATAACCCTAACTATGGGCCTTAAGCAAATGTAAACAGGTGAGTTATAAAATATTCACCCCCTGTACAGTGTGAATATTGAAATTAACTATAGAGAGCAAAATTGTTTTTGTACTAGGCTGAAAACATGTTTATTTCGGATAAAGTTGGGCATTTCAACTTGGGGATCCATGGGGGTTGACTCTGTTTTAGAGTCAGCCTCCTGGTCATTTGATGAACTGCGGTTTTTGGTACTTTGGCAATGGCTTCAGTTTTTAGCCTCGAAGGGTGCTGCTTGGTTTTGGATGGGAGAAGGTTACATGATTGTCAGCTACCATTGCTATGGAGAAGGCACCAGTCTGCTTTGAGGTAGGATTAGGGTTAGCAAAACTGTCATTTAATTCAAACCGATGTCAGTCTTGTACAACATCTTTATTTAGCTTGACATAGATCATCTTGATGCAATGTAATAACTAGCTGTACTAGATGTTATATATAGTCAATAGATATATCTCTTTACAAGTTAAGGGGATTGTAAACACGTGTATAATCAGATATTAAATATATATAATTGTTAAATGGGTAAAAATTAATTTTAATGATGTTTAACCCATATTTGGCAGTCCTTCCTGTCATTGACTATACTCACAATAGCTGAGGTCAAGAGCTTTCTATAATAGTTGATCCCATGCCTGTAGCACCTATTGTTGGTAATTATAAGCACTCAAACATGCTAAGTGGTCCATGTTCAAAGGTCAAAGCAAGAGACCTACAGTATACAATCTTCATACTGACATATAATACTCTCCAGGTTACAACCTTCCCACCAATGTATTTGGTTTAACTCTATGGGAAAATTGTAATTTTCTCCTTTCATCTACAAAAGAAGTGATGGCCAAATAAAGCTTCATGAGCCATTTTCTTTATTTTCTGAGCACACTAGAGGGCACTCTCTGTTCAACAAAGGGTTGAAAGCACACTGGACTGCCATTGCTTGAGCCTTTTTTTAATAAACGTAGAGCACCGTCTAGTGGCATCAACAAATACAACCAGTGGTTCATGATTCTTTATTTGGACATCATCACACACAAGACATCTGTGGCCTTGTCTCAAGGCCCAGTATAAAAAAAAGAAGCTTTTTGTTTGTTCGATTTTGAGTGGAAATAATGACCAAAATGAGTCACCTTCAAAGATTACAATATAGCTTTTGCTCCGAAAAGATACAACACGGAAGAAAAAAAATTGACAAAAATAAGGTAACAATAATAATAATAATGATGATGATAATAATATTAATAATGATAATAACAACAGATAAATTAACAGAGTAATATTAAGAATAAATTGAAATTTTGTAATTATTCACAGAATGTAATCGTAATACAGTTGGAGATAAAATGGGATAAAAAAAATTGAAATTAAAATTGACTGTAACAAGGAAATATAGGTTGGGCTGTGGACTAATATATTAGGTATATGGAATATAAAGTTGACATGAGTTAAAATTAAATGTGACATGTGCTTAAATAATTATTAATAAAAAAATAAATAATAAATCAACAGTGGAGGTTGAATGCAATGTTAAACCTTAGGTCCAGTTTGATGAAATACATGAAAATGACAAGTGCAGGGATTAAGTAAGGGATGTGAAATGTAAAGTCCAGTTTGATAACTCTGTCTTCATCCCATTTATATGACCATGGTACGAGATTTGATGCAAACACACACACCTACACACACACACACACACACACACACACACACACACACACACACACACACACACGCACACGTGTTGAGTAACTGGACAGGTTATAGTATCATCCCTACAGCCACGTTTCTTAATTTTTACTGTTCTTCACATCTGTTAATGTATATTCTTTATACATTTTTTGGCATGGGTGTAAGTCTAAAATACAACTGCAAGAACAAATCATTTACTTTTAAAACCAGGCACTTTTTATTCATATAATTAATTTACAAAAAAAAAAATCCCAAGTTTTGGAGCACTGACAAACCAAATTGAAATGTTTATAGCAACTATAGGAGCATGACATCTATTTTGATACTTTAACACAAAAACTAAAATAGGGGAGAGTTTGAATGAACAGGTTCAATTTGTTAAAAGGTTAGGGTAGGGTTCTGGATAGCGCAATGCTGCTCTCTACTGGTTTTATTGGCAACATGTGCACATTGGCAGTTTGATGTGGTTATATTCTAGGCACGCAGTCTGTTTGTCTTCTAGTGGAGAGGGTGTGTACACAGATACCAGCGCTGATTTCAGCTACACCAAGCTACAAATTCATTTTCAGGAAACAGTCATTGAACACCCACAACCTCCCCAGTTGGACTTCTAAAGCAATGGCTGAGAACTTTCTAGAATATTTGCTCTCTTTCAGGTTCAGTTTCATATTTTGCTAGATGTTGATTCCATTGAAATACATTGCCTTGATTAAAAAAAGGTAGACCACAGTATATGCATTAGTATTGCAGCTAACATGTAAGGGTGAACTTCCAGCAGAAATATGATCTGAAAACCGGGGAGAAATTTCCAACATTGTCTTCCTGTCGTTAGCATGTAGCTTCATTTAGCAGTATAAGCTACATAGCAGTTGCAGTAGTGTGCCTGGAACAGAAGACCTTATGAAGAAATCCAGCATAATGTGACCTCATACTGTAGCCAGAGTAGAAAAAAACTGTTGGAGATGGAGTGTTCACAATGGTAGCAAACCTGAGGTTTTTGCTCACAGGAATTATTTCTACATACCTTTACCCTGCTATTTGAAACTTTGGTCATGTTTACATGAACATCCTTCATTTTAATGCTATATATATGACATAAAATAAGGAAAAGCATAATAAGTCCCTTTTAAACTATACAGTGGATGAAGCAGCAACCACCACCACACTGTCACTTCCCGGCCCTCTGGTTCTCATCTTTTGTGGGGTCACCCCCTGGAAACATCTCCGGGTTCTCCGCCAGACTGGCTCGCACTTTCTTCTTCTCCTTAAACCTCCCAGAGTGAGACACCTTGACGTGGCGCCCCTTGGTGGATGTTGTTTTATCCATGATCCTCTCCAGTCGGGCATCTAGCTGAGAGTTGTGTATCATGTCCTCCGGGTGGGCAGCAGCTGTAGTGGCTGTGCCGGACCCATGCTGGCCAGTGGTTGCATTGGAAACAGACTCTGCAGGGATTTCATACAGAACCTTGGGCTGGGATTTTTTTCTCCTCAGGAAGGTCAGCTTCCACCAGCCTGGAGATGGCTCTGCCATGATGGATGAATGGTGGGATGGAGGGAATGCTGGAGAGAGGGTAAAAAATATATTTTTTCAAAGAAAGTACGGTTTGGTTTGGTCAGTTGTCAGTGGGCATGCCCACAGTTTGGAGAAGCAGGCTGGAGTCCAACAGCAAAACTAAGCAATGTACTGCTGTAGAGGGGTCAGCAACAAAATGTATTTTAGCCACTAAGAAGAGTCCCCGATAAAAAATCTATATCAGTTTATATATTGCTTTCCTCAAAGCCAGAGTCCATTGAGAAAATCAGTGATTTAACATCTCTGAGCACAGCAGCTGCTAGTCTACCACTGCCTCGATCAGTTATTTTGTTTGTGTTATTGTTTAACTTTGGCATTTAACAGGGTTCATTTCGCATTCACCAAAGTCACACAGTAACACAAACAATTTAACTGATCAAGGCAGCGATAGATCAGCAGCTCCTGTGATCAGTGAGCCAAAATTGCTGTTTTTGTCTATTGAGTCTGGTGACTTTTGACCAGAGCATAGATGGGAAACTGAAGCCATGAATGGCTTTTCCTGTCAAAACGTCATCTGATATAAAGGTAAAGTATTCTCAATATAGCATACACTTATTAGTTGCCATTTTGCCAACCAACCACCAATGGCAATGTAAATATTTCAGTGTAATTCAATAGTCTCCATATGCTGTGGATGCACACAACCTCATGTTACCGTGTGTCATTGTGTCATGTGTGTGTCAAAGAGAAACATAAGTCAGGCTCATGGATATGTGAGTGCACCAGCCCTGTCTTTTAGAACTTAGGTCTTCAAAGTTTATCAGGCTAAGGGGACAGGTGCCACACAGTCATTTAGGATTAGCTAGAAGTTAGCCTATCATCAATATTATGGGCTGAAAATTAAAAAAAAAAAAAAAAAAATCCTTCTTTTTGCAAATAGGTCGATTTATCTTTGCTATTATTATGTTGGATTCATTTTAATGTGTTTTTTCATAAATATTTAATTTTTCGAAGAAAAAAGAAATTGCCCCCCTGCAATAACTTCATTTAGTAGCCCAGGCTATTATGTGCTTAATTCACTGAACTTAACAGGCCTGTATTTGGGACAGGCATCTATATGAGACAGGCCTTAAATTCCTTTACATGAAACTGTTGCTCAGTTAAGATGGGTAATATGATCAGTTTGTTTATTTGAACAATTATGAATATTACTTTTAAAAATTAGGCTTCAAATAACCACTATCATTACCAATCATTCATTTGATCTAGCTCTGACAGACAGCACATCAGAGACAGAAAGAGAGCATTATGACGACACTCGAGGATTATGGCACCTGGCATACCGACCCAACACCACTTTATCCTGTTAAAACAAATAATATTCATAACTTTTCATGAAAAACCCTTTTGATTCTTTTAATCAGAGGACCCTTACGGACGAAAGGAATATTTTAACTTACTGGGTAATCAGAGAATGGACACGTATTCTGACTTCATGACAGATTCAGAGGAAGGGAGTCACCACTTGTTTTTCATAATGTCAGTAAAGCCAAATGAATGACAGTCTTCTCTGGTGCTCATGGTTTCGGTAAAATGAATTGAACTATTGAATTGCAGAGAATCTAACCAAGCTAACGATGTGTAGACACAGCTCTATAACGTAAGCTCCAGCAAGTAGCCAACAACCTGCTTTCGTACATCCAGAGAACTTAAATAAAAATGAACTGCTTGGCAGACTTGTTATCTAATTGAGACAGGCCTTCATTTGTCAAGATGTGGAGCCACACCAGGATAGTAAAATTCAAGTTTAACAGTATATACATAATAATATACATAAATTAATGTCTTTGGTATGTGGTGGTGACCCTGAACAGCCCCCCTAAAAATGTTGCTGTGCGTGGCCAATTTCCATTGTGTCTCACTCAAGGCATTTCTAAAAACTTGGCAGCCCTGAAAAGGGGAGTTTTAAATGAAAATTTATGGTATGTGCATAGGGGTGTCCACAGTCTTTATAGAGCATTTACGTCCTTAAAATCATGGTTTGTTTATGACCAGGCCATCATCAGCATCATCATCATTATTATTTTTAAAGGGTAAAGGAGAAACAATCCACTAAGATATGACCTACTGTAGAGATCAACTTGCACTTTGGTTAACTGTTCTATTATCTAGAACTTCTGCTAACTGTCCCAGCTGGCATGCAAACTGGCTGCAGGTCAGTTCCTGATTGCCTTCTGGCCCCAGGGCAAGTTTTATAGCAGCTGAGTAAACAGAAACTAACCCACATTGTTTTATTATGTCTTTTCTTCTTTCTCTCTCTCTCTCACACACACACACACACACACACACATGCTCTCACTCTCTCTCTCTTTCTCATGAAGATGTGATATGCTCGGCTAACTGATATTGTTTGGCTCCCTTTGTCCCATTTGATGTGGATTCTATACAACTTTGAAGTGGCGTGAGTATCGACTTCCTCGCTCTTCTGTTTTTGACCGGCTTTCTGTGGGAATGGGTGTGTTGGAGCAGTCATGTTGCTTTTTGAAAATAATATTTTTTTAGATTGAGTGTTCCTTTTGTGGTGTTACATAGGTGTTGTGCACCTGCAGAGTCAGAAAAAAATGTCAGGATGTCTGAATGTTTGTAATGCAACTTTAAAACTGAAACAGTGTATCCGTGATTAGCCAACAAAATAAAACGTGTCAATTTCAGCGCAGTGTTTCAGAGAAGGAGAGGAAATGTTGCTATTAGTTTAGCCTTCTGTTGGCTGGATTTCAAAGGCTCATGGCTGCAGCTTCATGTTCTCATGTATGGACTTAACATTAGCCAGAGCCTCAAATCACAGTGTGTACTCCACCTCACTCCCCACTGACACAGACCAGCTAGCCGTTAGGAGAGCAGGTAGCAGTTCCGGAGACTGACCCCCCCCACACATTCTCACTCTGACCTAGTCACACATTGACATTTGGTCAAACCCTGGTCATACCCTGGGTGCGTTGCTTATTGATATTCTGGGACAAGGTGTCAACCTCAGCCTCTGTTACATGCATTGTCTCTTCATTTCCATATTCACAGGAAATGTAGTTTGCATACAGTATCTTTCAAAATAAACGCACTGCACCGGTACAGCACTGCACATTGATGTTTATTTCCTTCAACAACGAATACATGTGATTACTGTTATGTGTCACTCTGTGTTTTGTTATCGTTTTGCATGTGTGTGTGTCTGTTTTATGTTTCTGTGTTCTAGGTGCAGTTCACTAAGGAGTGAAATTCACGTGAAGTTGTGGGCTGGGTCTATATAAGTGGCTCCTTTCTCCGCACCCTCTCTCTCTCAACTCCCTGGCACAAGATTCCAAGATATCCTTTTTGCATTTAACCTGGTGTTGTGTCCCTCACTGTGTTGCGGCTTGAGCCGGTCGTAACATTACGCACAGCACCCAACAAAAACACTAACTGCAGCTACAGGGGACTGGACAGCCCCGACTCCCCTGCTGGATCAGCAAACTTTCTGTTGCTGCTGTTACAAAGGTTAAACCTGGCACTGCCACTCGCCATCAGCCTGTTGTAACATCTAGTGCTGGCCAAATTTGAGCTACTACAGCCGCCAACTGAAAGTCTGTTTCCAGAGCTGCTGTCGGTTTCCTCCCGGCTAAGCAGTCCACAGCAGCAGCGAGCGAGCCGGAGAGACGGTTGGATGATCAGTTTGCTAACTTTTGTCTAATTTGTGGTCTGCAAAGGTGTACTCTTAAATGGGATCAAATACAACTTATTTACTGATCCATATCATTAATAATACAAGGTAAATATATTTACATGATAAATAAATGTATTGTCATTAAAATACTCTTCAACTTGTAATTTTTATGTTAAGCAACACATCAACACTTGTACATCTCAGGACTTTTTCAGAAAAGAGCGGTCAGAGCCTGAATACACACTGAAATACAAAAAAAATCAATGAAGTAGATGCAGCTTGAATCACTGTAACAATGCAACCTTTTGAATGAAATCTGGTGGATAATAACTGGAATCCAGTAGAATACATGTACTGCTACAATACAATGATGAAAAGTGTTGGTTAGAAGCTGCGGCCGCTGTGCTGTAAGAGAAATCAATGCTTTTCAATTTCAAAACATAGTCTGTGGTCACTGTTGTCTGGGTGTAGTCACTGTGTCACCAACCACGATGTTTACTGTGTGTGTGTGTGTGTGTGTGTGTGTGTGTGTGTGTGTGTGTGTGTGTGTGTGTGTTTGACAGAGAGATCAAACATGGGAGAGGGTGTTCAAAGGTTGTTATGCCTCAGGTAGCAGACTACTGGACCAAACGTGTTGTTTAAAACTGGTGTGTCCACTAAATTACAATGAAAAGGTCAAAATGTGCCCACTCACATGTTACACATACAATGTGTTGTGCAACAGCCAGAACTCTAACCTGTGAACTTTTAAGAGCAGAAAAGTCCCTCTTGCCACTTGGAAATCTTGCCTTCCCTGACATAACATTATTTGTACAAGCATTTATGTTACTGAAAAAATAAATCATTTTGCCTTTTGAGGTGTGGCCGTGTTAAGTATCAAGACAAAACCTCGCACAAGTGTTTATGCGCCCTAGAGGATACAATATTCCTGCATCAACGGCATAAGTCAGATATTTTGAAAAGGGGTTGTATGGGGTATAGTGTATTACATACAGTAGATGGCTGTTGGCACGCCTTCAGTTTGGAGAAGCAGGCTGCAGTACCGCCATGAAAGCTAAGCAATCTATTGCTGTGGAGGGGTCATAGCAAAATATATAGCCACCTAAAAAAAAACATTTTAACAGTTTAAGTGCACATTTACCGTAAAACTTTGTGTTAGTTAAAAGTCGCACTTTTTTTTCCCTTTTTTTCATCTAAAAAGTTGGGTGCGGGTTATAGATCGGTGCGACCTATAGACCAAGGTAAATGCTGACATAGGTAATTTGACCCACAAGATGGCGCTACGTTAGGCTGACCAAACGTCCTCTTTTGCCCGGACATGTCCACTTTTCACGTCCCGTCCAGGGCGTCCAGGGGTCTTTTATAAATTGATGATAATGTCCGGTTTTCCGTGTGTTTGTGTGTGTGTGTGTGTGTATGTGTTAGAGTGCGGCACGGGCTGCATATTTCTGTCCGAACCCGAACCGAGCCCAACATTATTTAATGACCACAGCACTGAGTTTGTGTCACACAGTGGTTACAGGCTATTTAACAGGCCGGGCGTGCGCCGTGGGTGCTCAGCGGAGAGGGAGACCTCCGTGTTTGAGAAGGGAGCGGGAGGCGGGAGGTCCGACGCTTCTAGCTAGAGGAGAGGGAGAAATAAAACAAAATAAGATAAAATAGGAAAAACCTGTCTCCCTCTTTTATTTTATATTCAGCGTTTAATCAAGGCGGAGGCGGGCGGCTGGAGGTCTGAGACTTCCAGAGAGGGGAGAGGGAGAAACAAACAGCCAATGTGTGTCTGTGTGTGTTATGTTCAGGTGTTGTCACGTAAATAACAGTGCCCAAGCAATAAACAGGACAGACAATAGGATTTTATTTATTTTTACACTACATTTTCACTGAAATCTGATCGATGTTGTTATACCGTAATTTTATTTCCTGAAGAGGTTGTTTGGAAAATTGCAATCTGAAAAGTAACCAAAGCTGCTTAAGAGGTTACTGTGTTTTGAATGTGTTTCAGATTAAAAATAAAGGGAAACAGTGTAGGAATAACTTGTATAACGTTTTTATTAACAAATAGTAATATAAAACCTTGTTTTCCCTGTTTGAGACCTTAAAAAATAGACTGCGACTTATATGCCAGTACGACTTATATTCTGAGTTTTACGGTAAGTATAGCTTTCTGTTAGACAGCCCATTCTGATGGAAAGCCATTAACATCTTCAGTTCCCTATCTATGTTATCGTCAGAGCCACCAGACTCTATTGAGAAAAAACAGTAGTTTTTGCTTGCTGACCACATGAGCTGCTGGTCTACCACTTAAAAAATGATGATAACCATTGTATTATTTTATCTTAATGTTGTGTCAATGTATTATGGTCCTTTTCCTTACAGCAAGTAAAACAAACAAAATCACTAGCTTATCAATGTCTTGGCAGCTAACTAGCTATTTCTATGTCACATTTTTGTAGCCTACAGAGCACAGCTAGTTGATTGCATGAAAGTTTTCAATGAATCACTAGTGTCCTGAAAACGAGGGGTAGGGGTAAAAATCAAATTATTATTTGTAGTATTTGGTTTGGATGAAACTTATGGACAGATACAAGAGCTGATTAACAACTAACCGAGTCTCCCTGGCACAACTGGATGAAAAGCTTTAAAACCAATGACAAATTGGCTGTAAAAAAAAAAAAAAAGGGTAATGTAATAGGGTTGTTAATGTTAAAATTTAAAGCAGAATGGGAAAATAACAGCAGCTCAGAAAACAGTTTATTGATAATTCATATTATTAAATTAAAAAAAAAGGAGAGACATGATAATTAGTAACTTTTCATAATTTGCATTTCATCTTTTCCTTTGTCATTATCTGTTTCCGAGATGGCTGTTGATCAGACACAAGTGGTCTGAAGTGGTGCTAGAAAACCAGTAGAAGAAGAAAGTCCCAACCATTATGGACCACTGCATTGACAAAAAATGTAGCACCAAGAAACCCATCAGTGGGAAAATAATATCAAAGCAGACACATATCTGATCACCAAAGTGCTCATCAGTTAAGACAACTATAATGGTTCAGATGAACGCATGCCTCACTGCCTCTTGAAAGTCTCAAACACCACCAGTATTACTATGATTATGTAACTGTATGGCCACAATTATCGTCTCAAATTCAGACACTGGTTTTGTGTTTTTGGGGGGAAAAATAGAAAAGTAAAGAAAAAAGTTTGAAAAAATGTTTTTGAAAACAAAAGCCACAATTTATTTTTCTCTTCCTGGGAAATGCGTCCCAAAATATGAAAATATGACTTATAAATACTTTTAAAATAAATAAAAATTTTGCAGGTCGTTTCCTGTCAACTAAACAACTAACCAGACTGAACCTTGTGTGGTTCATCAAGAAGTATCCTGATCCTTTACTTTATTAAAAGTACAAATACAACAATGTAAAAACACAAATGTACAAGTAAAAGTCCTGCATTCAAATATACAACTTATTATATAGATAGATAGATAGATAGATAGATAGATAGATAGATGTAGGAGCAGAGTACCACTAGCTTTGCAAAGCTATAGACTCACCTGGTTGATACAGATGTTTGTCTTCAGCTGTGGTTGACTTCAGCAGGTTTCGGGATCAGTTTCCAGTCTCTTCACTCCAAAATCTGTTTAACTCCAGATTTCAGTTTTCTAGCCACAAAAACACTTTGGGAAACTGCATTCCATTTCCACTGTCCTGTTGACCTCTGTTATAATACTACTGTGTTTATATGCATAAGTAGCACTTGCAGAGGTCTGTGCTTCTATGGTGCCAGTTTCTGATAAGACGTTTCCGCAAAGTGTCAGGAAAATTTAAGTCTCACCTGAAGGCTTTTAATCTTGGTTTCTTCTCAGAGGAGAGTCCATCATCCATTTTCTTCACCCAGATTTACACCAAAACCATAATTGATGTTACATCTGAGGGGAGTAGGCTATATTTGGAGAATCACAACAATAAACATGTTGCTTGATGCTGTGACCCTGTTGCAAAGTTTAAAAGTCTTTCCTGAAGGTAGCAATGGCAAATCACATAAAATACTAGAAGAGAGAGCTCAGATGAGTTAGTAGTAGTCCACAGCACAGTTCTCGTCCCTCTGGTTTGTCCTTTATTCTTGTACTCTATAGTTTACTGTCCACATTCACTCCTCTGTCTGTCATCTCCCAGGTGCTGAGTGACAGGTGCTGTGCTTGGCCCCTCCCACTGACACACATTCACACAAACCTTGCTGTGCTTGTGAGGGCTTTGGCTAAACTCACGATATTGACTACAATTCCTTTCCTAACCTTAAACCAACCTTTACCTTAACTCATGACTCTAATCCAGACGTAAATAATCTAAGCCTGGCTGTTCACAGTCTTGCTGCAGGTTGCATATGAGAGAGTAACAGTGACTACAATATGTTGTCAGACCCACCTTGGACAAATAATGACCCAAACCTATTAATCATTTTCATACAGCATGTTAACATGCACCCTGATAACGTGACTGTCCTCAGAATGAGAATTTTGATATATATATTTTTTTAACAGTAATGTCAACACATCAAGCATGTTATCTTTCTCACTAAGGTTAATAATGTTGAAGTGAAAGCAAGCATAACTCAAACATAATCAATCATTCAAAATATTTTTGGCAGGTCTTACTATTTTCATTCTATGCCACAAAAGTTATACACTGTAACACTGCGGTATGTTTGCACTAAAAACAAGTCAAAATCTTCTGATGAAAGCTTTCATGCTGACTGAGTAGAAGTTTTATAAAATACCTACCAGTTGGTTGCTAAGGTGTTCGGGGAAATTCGTAGAGATGTCAATAGACAGTTGCTAAGATGCCAAAGGTGATTATTAACAGGCATTCAGACCGAAACCAGCACTGCAGTAAAACAACACTACTGACTTACAGTAATGTAACATAACACTCTCTTGTGTGAAACCAAAAGTCACTATTGTTTTTATGTAATGTATTGTTACTTTGTCCCATGTGGAACAAAAAAAAAATCACTATCCTGTTTAGCGTATCATTTCGTAACTTTGTCTCGTGTCAAAACAAACAGACACCATTGTTTTGACTTAAGGTAACATAACTTTGTCTTGTGTGAAACCAAACGTCAGTGCTGTTTTAACATATCATTAACATATGTTTTACGTACAGTCACTCACATGACGTAAAGTCATCATGTGAGTGACATCAGTGCTTGACAACCATATGTTAATTATGTACCACTGTTATTTTAACCCAAATCATGATATATTTTGTAAACCTAGCCAAGTAGATTTGCTTCCTAAACCTAACTACAACGGTTTCACAACATTTATCATATGTTCCAATGTGTTTCAAATAAATTGCTCATTGTGTTGATTGGTCTACACGGTTTATGTGGTTTTCACTGTATGTCATTTTGATACTTTCCAGAGAGAATGTGACCAGGAAAATTAATCAGTTAAAGAAAAAAAAGCATCCACACTCAACACTAACTATCTCCACCTTTATTTATACATGTGGATCTTCTCTTTCTCTGTTGGAGTATCAGAGACAGTTCATAGGCATTCAGGCACCTGGTTTCAAATTGATCATCTGTTGCTAAATGAATTCCACATGGGATTTTCCAGCTGTGAATAAATGATGGTGCTGTGTAATAAACTGCCCTCTGTACAGTATGTAGTCATATCTGCTGCTTCAGGAAGTAGGACAGGAGTTAATAAGTAACCAAGTTGTAATGGTCAGCAACAAAAACTGCATGCACACACAACCACACACACACAAACTGTGGATTCACATCCTCAAGTCTAAGATGTGTTCACTTAACTTGAATGAAATGAACAGTCATAGAGTAACCGCTCATAGAGGACACTCTAAGAAGTAAAGCAAATGTGCCCGCAACGAGGCAGGGTGTTTTAGTAGATGCTACACTGAATTTCCACTGTAGGTGAAGTGCGGCATGCAAATCAGGAACAATAGAGCTGCTGTGATCCATCTCTTTATCCAGATCACTGTGACGGCCCATTGTTGTTCATGAGAGAGAATAGGCTGCTCTTTACTCCCCTGTCTTTGATTTCCTGTAATAAAATGAGGCTGGCAAAGGATTCACAGATGTACACAAGATACAGAGGAACACAGAGTCACAGATAATGTATCACCACACTGATAACAGTTAGAGCATTTCATTATTACATAAGAGCACTTGATTTCAGATATGTTTGAATTTGACACACTTTTAGTAGCAAATAGCATAGCACTTTGTGGCATATTAATCACATGAGAGTACCATTGTACCAGTTACAGTTGGGTGACCTCCATCTCTGCTGCAAACTACACACATTAAACACATTAAATATTCATTTAACCCAACTTCCTCTGATAATGCTGACACATGTAGACTGAAAAGACTGAGTTTCCCAAAGTGTTTTTGTGGCTAGAAAACTGAAATCTGGAGTTACACAAGTTTTGGAGTGAAGAGACTGGAAACTGATCCCGAAACCTGCTGAAGTCAACCACAGCTGAAGACAAACATCTGTATCAACCAGGTGAGTCTATAGCTTTGCAAAGCTAGTGGTACTTTGTACTCTGCTCCTACATCTATCTGTCTGTCTATCTATCTATCTATCTATCTATGGACTGATGATGACAGAAAGAAACCAATGACAGAAAAAGAAAGAAAGAAAGAAAGAAAGAAAGAAAGAAAGAAAGAAAGAAAGAAAGAAAAGAAGGAAATGAAAAGGGAAGGAAGGAAAAGAAAAATACAGATGGACAGGTAGAAAGAAAGACTGAAAGAGTTTACCTTTCACGTGTACAGCTGACCAGGCCACTTCGGCTGTGGCTGCACATGCATTGATCAAGTGTTGCCATCTTGTGGTGAATTTGCTGAAGTGCATCTCCACCACCCACTGGACAGATAACGGGTGTTTCAAAAGGCATGGCACAATGGTCAGAGCACTCAGGCAACTAAAATGATTCTAACTAATGTAAGGAGGTAAATGCAGTTCATGTTTAAAGTGTCTATATTCCTATATTGCAATGGATCATATGTGGGTTGGTATGTGAAAGATGTTGCTTGTGGTGATGAAACCACAGATAATGATCACCAACCCTGCAGTACCCCTCAGCTCTGTGGAGCTGTATGGTTTCTTTCAGATCATTGTTTTGTTTTGTTTTTTGACCCACCACTTTACGGCTTTGGTTCCCTCTCCCTGCTCTCAGCGTTGTTTCCAGCAGCAGCAGGAAGCTATGTTCAGAGAAAAAAGCTTTAGTAAGCCACTGTACTCTACCTGCTCAGCATTTAACAGACAGTTAGCAACCAGCTGGTGAACATAGTGGAGCTTTTAGCATCTAGAGGATCAGATATTTTCTCAGGACCAAAGCAGAGCTTTAAGGAGTATGGGTCTTACATTCATCAGGCGGATACAGACATGACATCAAATTAATAACTTTGCCCTATATTTTCTGGATGTGTAAATACAGTAGACAATTGTTTGCTAACAAGTCAGCCATATTGACTTAAAAGGTAACAGTATGTCAATGTACTGTTTACAGTTTCTACTGCCTCCAAGTGGCCAAAAAGTTATTACTTAAAATCACATCATCTAAAACTGAAGCAGAAACACTTTTCTTTGTATTTGAACCTTTAAGTCACAGTGGATATGACAATAAACTGTGACAATGAAGTTAAAGTACTTCAGCTTTAAATGTGTTCACAGTGCAGGACTTATGGCCCTCCCTCTGTCTCTTCCTCTCGTATTACTCAACCGCCCCTCCACTCTTGCTCGTGCATCCCTCCCCTCATTATTGAAGGTGGCGAAGGGAGGGGACCAGTGATGAGGGTTATCCATCAACAAGCAGATACACACAAAGAGAAAAAGGCTCACACATGAAAATACCGTATGTACACACCTCTTACTTTGACTGCATGCTGTCTGAATGTTTATACACAGACTGACTTGAAATAAACCCCATAGCCTACATTATTACTGTGCGGTCAAATTTAGAGTAATTGGTCTCTCAGAGAAATGTATATATTAACATTTGCATAACCTAAAATGAGCAATCCTCACATTTATCATGGGAGCTTACACATCTTTCAATCTTCAATAATTTCAAGTAAAAAATTTAAATCAGTAGAATTTGCAAAATTGCAAAAAAGAAAAAAAAAATCTACGAACCAATAAACCCTTTCTAGGCCATATCCTTATGAGACACTGTCCTCTTATGAGGACATCACATTTTGGGTTTACTTGACCTTATACTTCATTCTGCTTAACTTAGACCTCTTGTCTTCATTCATGGACACTTTTTGTGCCATCTAGTAGTAGTAAGAACACAATACACTTATCCATGTAAAAACAAGATGACAGCCATCTTTGCCAAGAAAGTACTCGTTTGAAGACATTGAGAATTTAAGGTAACAATGGCACTTTAGTAACTTCTCATTCAAGGATATTAGAATGTTACTGCCATCTCGTTTGAGGACATTTGAACTTTGTTATCATTGACAATGTTTAGCTTTTTATACTTACCAGGTCCTACTAATCCCAAGTAGTGAGGAGAAAAATGCATAACAAACAGAAGTTGGGTCTCAGGAGGACAACATAGATAGACCAGTCAGAACATATACATCACCTGTCTTGTTTTAAGAAGAT